TGGATATCACCTAAAGAAATGGCATGATAATGAATTGAGAATATCACCAACCCGCTCAATCAATCAATCACTGTTATATTAATGTTCTACAAAGAACAAACAAAGCATTTGTTATGTTTTATGTTTATGTCCTCCAAGTTCATAATGTCTAAAGCGCTAAGGGAAATATATCGTACTTATTATGCCATAATAAAACACAGTACGTCGGAATCGTATACATCACTAATACGTTCACTATTTGAAAGAGGGGCAAGGAGGGAGGGGGAGAGGTGTCCATCGTGACAGATTTCCCGCACATTAAAAATTGTCTTAGTATTTAAAACTTTCAATCCACCAGTTCCCTTCCCCTTTTCTTCCCCCCCCCCAAATATTTTGGGGTCGGGGGTGCTATCCGCCCCTCCATTGTTTCCTCGCTTGTCCCTCCTGAGGTCCATACCTGGATACGTCTATGACATGCCCATGAAACACATGACTTTGATTACCTGTGAAGTTACCGCTCCGAGCAAGAGAACCATGGCAGTCTCCATCATCTAAAGGTGACGTTGATGCTGTTGGGGGCACTGTAGATGGTTGAGTTTCATATGATTGAGGTTTCTCCGTCGCTGAAGAAAAGAAATCGTTATTTAAAAAAAAAATGAAATGACAGGAAAGATATTGGCAAAATGCGGGCAAAACAAGAAATACTCCCCTTAATGGTTCCCCGGCAGCCATTTTATGCCCCAATAGCACCTGGATTAGATTTGTTTTATTGTGAAGAAGGTAAGTAACATGTGATCATAACTCTTTATTTTGTTTTTTCAGAATGTTTTCTGAGAAGTGCACCACTATCCCCCGGACAGGAAATTCTGGATCCGGCATTGGAAGAAGTACTTCTCTTTAATCAATATTTCATTTCAAGTAAATTGATTGCTATACATCCAGCTCTTAAATGGGTAAATCTGTTGATTTATCCGACATATTTGGTTCTGTATTTACCGAGAACGCTGCAAATTTCGTGCTGTCTACTGTTTCTTATTCCACACCCTTTTGGAATCCACGGTGCTAGGTCGCGCTCAGACGCGATCATCGAGTCATTGCTAAGAAGACTTCTTCGACATCGGAGTCGAAAAAATGTCGTTGACGCATCATCAAGTCTGTCGTGACATGACTGGCCATGTACACCTGTGGGGAGAGAGATAGAGAGAGAGAGAGAGAGAGAGAGAGAGGGAGAGAGGGGGGGGGGGAGGGGGAGAAAGGGGGCACCACGGTAAGAACTTACGAAGAACAAACTATGGTGAAATGAATAAAATACTTTTTTTTTCTTTCTTGGCGATTTTAGAGACAAATGCTCACCTACTCTGTTTAAAGAATTTTGCATCCGCCACTTGACTTTGATTTCAAACGTGCAAAGTGGATATTAACGACAATTATACTACCTACAACTGTCAACATGTATATAAATCTATTAAAAACAAAAAAGGAGGGAGGGGCTCTGAAATTATAAAGCATATTTCTTTGCTTAACAATGGTTACGAGACTATTGGTACTCTGAAATCGAATAATAATGAGTTATTCCAATGAGTGCAAGTCAGACAAAAAGCTTCAATTTTTCTATCCTGAAAGATTTATCTTTATAAATTATTGTGTTTGTGTATGATTGTTAAAGATGTCGCACAAAGGAGGTCCCGTGTGACCCCCACCCCCCCCCTTTGAACATGAAGTGCCACATGGGTATTTTTGCTTGTTTAAGATATTTTCGGCAATTCTTTTGGCAAATTTTTTCAACTCAAAAGGTTATGAATAAAGGGATTCCGAATATTATAACATCAGAGGTAAAGACCGATCGACAATAGGCAGTCAATAAAACTGAGAAAGAAATAAAGATGTTATAGACCTACCTGGTAGACCGGTTCCAACTATCACGGTAAGCAAGATTGGGTAGTAGATTCTGATCTAGAAAACAGATTGAACAAGAACGTATAACATTTCAATACGACAAGATAATATTCCTAACCCAAACAATACATTGCCACGGAAGCAAGTCACAATTCTCATCATGTACTTTAAATTATGTTTTTTATTTTTTATTTAATGAGATTGTAATCTATAAGTATGTATTTTACTTTCTTCCTATATATATCCCAATCTATAGTTTAAAATCTAGACTTTCGGGGAGAGGTAACGTAAAGGGAAACCTTAGAGCCGTGTTTTAAAGACTGGAAAAATAGATAAATACATGCTGAAATATTTAATCAATGATCATGAATTTTCATGAAACGAATTTTTCTGTCAAACATTTATTCAATACAAAAAGACGCTGATATCTACATGTATTGGTTAAAATGAAAAAACCACCCTTTTATCTCCTTGTAATAACATTACGCCCAAAATGTCGGTTGTTAGAAAACTGTTCCGATGAAAATATTGTTTCACAGTCAATATCCTACATTGACCGAATTCCTAATCTCAACCCTTGACTTACAGTCATATCTAATAATCTTACCCTAACCCTATCCTAACCTTTAACCCAATTGCAACCTTAACCCTAGCCCTATACACTCTTATTTCCACGGCGTCAAATTTCACTCTAAATGGCGTCAGCTGGGAGTCAACTCTATTCCTAGTTAAAGTGACACGGATTCCGAATCAATTTGACTCGGATTGTGTGGCATCAGCTGAGAAATGACTCAATTCAGAGTCAAGATGACTCCTTTTCCGTGTCACTTTGGAATAGAGTTGACTCCCAGCTGACGCCATTCAGAGTGAAATTTGACGCTGTGGAAATAAAAGTGTATCTCGATCGGACGCATTAAATCCCGGATTCAATGTCGCCAGGTCACTAGGCGGATCGCCGGAAATGTTCGAATTTATAAAATCCACTTATTGTGTATACAATAAAGGCTTCCTCATGAAAATACGCACACTGAAGAGACACATCCTGACTTCAAAGATTAAGAATACCAAGTGAAGCACGAATAGAATTAATCGACAAATTCTAAAAGAGTGGTTCTATGTGTGGGGTTGTGTGGGTGTGTGCGAATGTGTGTTTGAGACGCCACCATAATGGTGATTTCTTTTTTTATTTAACAAGGTTATACTAAGCAGTTTTGTGTAGCTTGTTCCCATAAAAAATATTTATGTTCACTTTATCCGTTTTCACTTAATTGAATTGTTCCATTTACTGGAAAGCCATTACATTTGATTGTGCAAAATTTCAGGGACCAATTCCAGAGACGGAGGTAATAAGACAATTTATGGAACAAGTTACGACCGTTTTGTTTCATGTTCCCATAGAAATAAGAGCTCTCCTCTTTTGAAACGCTCGTTTCATTTCCACCCGTAAAGTACAAAACAAGGGACGTGCGCTGGCTTCATCTGGTGCTCAATATTCGTCACTGACATTAAACTTTACTGCGTTCGCACGCACGCAACAACACAAGATGGGATAAAATGGAAGAATTAAAAAAAATCTTCAAAGCTTTGGGAAAAAGGTATTTACGACAGTGTTGTCTTTGTTTTAATATCAAATTGCAACTCATTCCATTCCTTTATACAAAATATATTGAAGGAATTCATTTAGAATGCTGTGCAAGATCTAACAAAGATTCGTTTCAATGCCTACCTTCTTGAAGAAAAAAAGAAGAAAATTCGCTTGATTCCTAGAGCTAACAACTATATCTGACATTTAAGAAAATACAAGCTGGCAAGTAAGCTAAATGGGTTCCTCATAATGCTTCAACATAATTTGTTTTTGCATTAACGTTGCCTCGACATTTGATGGAAACTATTTCTGGGTTTCTAAATAACAGCGTTCAACTTCGGTATAGGACAGAATAGAAATGGAATAATGAAAGGAATATGCAATGACATTTTACACGCTCTATGTCTATACCAAATTGATGGGGAAAATGAGACGTCATTTCCAATTATATTTTGTGTTCATCGGTAATTTGAGAGAGGTTAATGAAAGCCAGTAAGGAGTCACGAAAGGCCATTGTTTGCTTGCTTCAGCTCCGTCAATATGACAGAATAGGTATCTTGTCATGGAAGGTTGAGGATGAGCAATTACAAATTGTTGATCAGCGAACTAGACCGTGTTATTGTTGTTAACTCTGGTGCTATCATATTTTGAGAAGTTCAGTTATCTTGAATATTTTTCATATAGTGAACATGGTGCATAGAATGCACAATATACTCTGTTACCGCCTCGTGATAAAGTTCTGGACCAGAGAAAGATATATAATTAACAAATGAGATTAACGAATAATAAACTAAAGAAACAAACAACCCTCCCCCCCCAAAAAAAAAATATATATATTGGTTAGTGAGCACAATTTCTTTTGCTCCCGAAAATTTGAAAATCGCGCCGGCCGATAATTCGCTAAGTGGGGGGAGGGGGGGGGGGGGGGGGGGGGGGGGGGGGGGGTGGCCCTCGGAAATTTGAGAATCGCACCCCCCCCCCTTGAGCGCCAGGGTAGGGGACCCATCTCCTCCCAAAAAGTAAAATTTACGTGTTCTACACATTTTTCTCCCAAGGGTGGGGGCCCGGCCCCGGTCCGCCTGGATCCACCACTGCCACCACCCCCTATTAACACCATCACAACCACCACCGGCATATTCATGCTTACGACCATCACCACCAACCCCGCCCCCCCCCCCCCCCACTGGATGTTATTTAGGGTACGCATATGCGTGTTCCCAGCAGTAGTGAGCACTATTTTTTTTTTTGGTCCTCGAAAATTTGAAAAATTGCACACCACTTTGAGCGCAAGGGGGGGGGGGGGGGTGGGCCCATCAAAGGTGAAATTAATGTTTAAAAATGTAAAAATACACACTTTTTCCTGGGGGGGGGGGGGGAGGCCTCCCCCCTCCCCCTGGATCCGCCACTGGGTCTAATCCCCCTGCCAAACTAGTTGAGACGGACTTTAAGGGTCTGTGCCAGCAGACTAATATTCTTTTTTTCTTTCTATGTCGGTGCAGACGACAAAACGGTTAAAATACACCAACCATTCGCACCGCACAATGACCAATCGACCGATAAGGTCAGTTAATCGCGTATATGGTACATGTACTCGCACCTCTCCACCTTATGATACATCAGATCAATTCCATGCAATCCATCATGGCGGGAACTACAGCTTTGAGAGTGAAGCTTGCATTCGTAGCAGTCGTCTCCTTGGCTGTTGGGATAATCTTTGTGCAGTTTGCAGCTGACGGAGAGAGACAGCTATGGCAAAGACTTGTGTCAGGTAAGAGTAGACTAGATATCTTTGCTAGAAAAGTGAAGTAGAACGTACAAGCCTTTTTTTTTAAATACTATAACTATAAGACCATGCAACTTAATTTTTCATGGAAGTGAATGTGCCGGGGGGGGGGGGGGGGCATGGGTACCACTCCCGATACTGTAATGTAACTGTATAAGCGATCGGCTGGGAGTAGACCATGAACATTTACTTAAGAATAGACGATCGCATGCATGCTTCAAATAACAATGCTTGGGTATATTATTACCCTTGTTGTAATTTAATGGCATCAACTGCGAAGAATTATAGCACTACAAAAAAAAAAAATCATGATTATATAAATAGCATAGTGGCTATCTGTTAGGATTACGTACATTAATGAATATCCAAATGCGATTAACAAACCAACTCCCCCTTAGCCATTCGCGAGTACTAGCTATGCGTACAACATGTACCAAAATAAACGCATTATTTGTGGTCGGCTGCGGCTGTGTATCACAAAAGGATGTCTCCGACCACTCAGTGACCTGTAAATGAGGCAAAGTCAAACAGATTACGACGTAGTCTTTAATACTTAGGCTGATATATTGACAAATCTCGTTTGCCACTAGATTTACGCTTTATCATTATCCAATAATATAACAAATTGAGTGCAATTTTTTAATTGTGAAGTTTGCTTGCAAATTTAATTTTTTACACCTTCCACAATGTTCCAACGATTTTTTTAAATATTAACATTACACCTAATTACTTTAACCATAAAACTTATATTTAGAATTATTGTCCTCCTATAATATGACAATGTATAATTAATTACTCACTTTTCCACTTCAAATGTCCGTCTAATGACACCTTTAACAGGTACTATATGTCCCATGTGCATGCAGGCCAGAAAAATGAAAAAGCAATACTAATTTAGAACTTCCCTCAAAACAAAAGGGCCTAAAAATGGTTTTTAGTGGGAAAATAACGATAATTAGTTGTTGCAATTACCTAAGTAATAGTCTGATTTTCAGACCCTTTTACCGAATGGTGGTACGTTTTGAGCTGCACAAAAATTTAATCAGTTTAATTTTGGAAATTTCTAGTACGTAGTGGGTTATTGATGGAGACAAATGTTCATGTACCTGTTACAGCTCATTTATTTTATGTTATTACCAAAGAAAAGAAATTGTTAGTCAGTCACTCGATAGTGTCTGATAGTGAAGTCTAGAAGGTAAACGGGTTTCCTTGCATAATTGGAATACTAGACACCGCTAATGATTAAATTTCACAGACAGTACATACATGACATATATTCATAAATCCTGCAAAGTTCTACATATGAAGAGTTTCATTCCAAAAAGGAGCTAAATCCACTTTCGGTACTTCTGAGTAAATCGCCTTTTTTAATTTCTCCACTTTCCCTTCAGTCATGTACCTTCATGCTGTTATATATGTTAACGGTGTCAACCTGGACTAATAATATATGATTTTAAAAAATCTAGAAGTTATTTCTGATTTTTTATTAATTTTTAGATTTTTATTTTTCGTGGATTTAGCTCCTTTTGGAATGAAAAATGATATTGTACCTAAAATTTGTAAAATTTTATAATATTTTCTCAATAAAGTGACTGAAATTTATTTTAATTTAGTAGCAAACCTTTCCTTTTAAATAATTACAGTGAATTCACATCTAAAAATACCTTTTGAAAAGAAAGTAAACAACATTTTACAGTTTCATTCCAAAAGGAGCTAAATCCGTTTCATTCCAAAAGGAGCTAAATCCATGTTTCATTCCAAAAGGAGCTAAATCCACAAATTTCAATAATTTAGAAAAAAAATCAGAAATAACTGGTACATTTTATTTCTTATTATATATTATTGGTCCAGGGCGACACCTTTAACATAAATAACAACATGAAGGTACATGGCTGAAGGGAAAGTGGAGAAACAAACAAGGTGATTTACTCACAAGTGGATTTAGCTCCTTTTGGAAAGAAACCAATTTGGATTTAGCTCCTTTTGGAATGAAACATGATATTGTAACTAAAAATTTTCATACTTCCTGGTAAAATTTTAGAATGTGATATAGTGCATTTTGTCCCCATGTAGGACACCATTATTTTACGACAAAAAACTCAGTTTTGATAAAATATGGATTTAGCTCCTTTTGGAATCAAGCTCTTCATATTTTGATATTGGCTGCAAAAGGGACATAGTATCTTTAAGTAAAAATTATAGAGAGATATATTTTTGTTAAAGAGGCCTTCTATGAGAAATAAAACGTGCAAACGTTTAAAGGACACAGGATTGTCCTCCTACCATGACAATGTCTACTTATTGACTCACTTTTTCGCTCCAAATGTCCGTCTAGTGAGGCCTTTAGGAAAATATCGTTTATATATATTATATATACATAGACATATTATGTAGTATAAACATTACCGTAATGTATACAGTATATGAATATATGTCATATACATCTATATGTATTCATATTTATTGTTTACTCTCCATTTGTTGTCCAAGCGGTGATTCGTCTTGTTGTACATGCATGCACAGAAGAAAAGCATAAATACATTATTAAAACAAAAGGACAAACATATACTTGAGAATGTATATATGAGCCTTATGAGGGTACGTATTAATACACAAACAAGTTTTGTTAAGGAACAGAGAATAGATACTCACATTTATTCATCCTGATACACTAAATCAATTACAAACAACATTTTACAAAGTATGCAAAAGTATTTATAAAAGTGTATGTTATTTTTCTTTGCATAACAGAAAACACAACCACACTTTCATATATACACGCACACGCGCTCCACCAGCCCCCACACACATACATAACACACACGCTACAACATTTGTTATACACTGTAATGATACCTTGTGGTTAATTGCATCAACTGCAAAGATTTAATCATAACACTAAAAAAAATTCATGAATATATGAATAGCATATGAATAGCATATGGCAACGGCAAACATATAGGCTATGTGGTAACAACAACACCAACAACAACAAAACGGTGCTTTCAAAGCGCTTACCACCGAAGTCTCTAAGGCTATATAAGAAGCAAAATAGAATGATAAACAATTACACGCACATACATAACACACCCACACACCCTATTTGCACTATATTTTCTTCTTGTTTGTTTCAGGGCTGCTCGGAACGATAAGTATACTGCTTGCCGTGCTATCGCTATGGATGGCCTCACTACAGATAGCGTATGGGCATGGCCTAAAATCAGCATACACCCAGGTCTTTATTATGTCAGTGATGTTATTTATCCGCAATCGAAAGGTTAGCAGATGTGAGGAAGCTTGGAAGAACCCCCGAAAAACACAGGAAGAATATTTGAAAGCCATCCTCGAGGTAAACATCAACACGGAATACGTGAAACTTTATGGACTTGATTCTGTGACGTCTTTGAGGGACCTTAGAGAGAAACACCCTCTGACAACTTATGAACGTTACAGACCATTCGTAGATCGCATGGCTAAAGGTGAGCAGGGTATCATGACAGGAGAACAAACTATAAGATTTGCTCTTACTTCTGGAACTACGGGAAAGTCAAAGATGTTGCCATATGGTCAATCCTTTCTGACTATACTATCCACACTTTATATGGTAAACATCCACGCCCGTGTTAACGCATTCGGTTATGGTAGTCTCCTTCAACGAGAAATAAACGTGTATACAGCACCAAAGAGGAGATATACAGAGACCGGGATTCCCATCGGTCCTGCATCCATGATACCCCCTTCGATGAAACCTCTGCTAGTGATCTACGCCACACCAGGCGAAGGTTTCCAGGTTGAAGATCCTAACGACGCCCTCTACGTTCATCTTCTTTTCGGCCTTCGCGACCCAAACCTCCGGTCCGTTAGCTGTAACTTTACATCCACCGTGATGTCTGCCATGCAACTGATTGAGAAACGTTGGCCCGACTTCGTTCGTGACATCGAGATCGGAACAGTGTCGACGAACAACGTTCCTCCAGAGATTCACCAAGTACTTGTCAGAGAGATGGGTGAGGGAGATCCGGAACGTGCGGCAGATCTGAAGAGAGAATTCGAGAAGGGATTCGAAGGCATACTGAGAAGAGTATGGCCCTGCTTGAAATTTGTGCAAGCCAGCGATACTGTGGGTATAAAGCAAAAACTGCTGAAATCATATTTGAAAGGTACGAAGGACTAGTTGTCCTAAACCACATCATGCAAAGTTTCAAGGTCTTTATTTCACTCCCTCTCTATCTCTCTCTCTCTCTCTCTCTTTCACACTCTGTTTCACCTTATCTTTAAGCCCCACTGTACTACTTGTAGCTACTTGCTAACTCTATATAGAAAACAAAGCCTAAGCGGTGACCATTGGTCCCCAATGATCCTCTTTTTCTGATATGAATTGAGAGCGAAGTTGATGAGATAGCCACCTGTAAGTGGCCAATCTAGTCCAGACGGGCTTTAAGATTAAGAGGATTAATATCAAAGTTAGGTGTCATTAAATTATTGGAGGATTGTCTATTTCAACTCTATTTGAAAATGGAGATTTATTCATTTATATTTTGACATTTTGACATCATTTGGACAGACCTTATTCAATTCTATGGTTGTATTATCATGGTTGTTATGACCATGCCTTTGAACCTGACAAGATAATCTATGCTTAAAGTGCCGTCTGCCGTTATGTATAGTGAGGTTTTAAGGATGACATCGAAAGACGTTACTCTACCTTGAGTTTTAGGCGAACTGACTTTATGATTAATTTATTACCATTGTGTTATTTTCATATTCTGCCAGGTGTAACGTTATTTAGTCGCGCCCTAGGTGCTACTGAAGGTGTCATCGGTATCAACCTTTGGCCTCTGCAGGAGAAAGACGAATTTGTTCTCATGCCATCTCTTGGCGTCCTCGAATTCATTCCCGAAAACGAGATGTAAGTGATGATGAACTTGTTCCATTCTCACATATTTCTAACGGGGAAAATGCTTTACAGCAGGCGCACCAATATCTGAAATCACATCCTTTTTGATAAAGTCTACGATTACCCCAAACCAATGAAAATTCCTGTATTAAAACTTTGATGAGTTTGTTTGTTTGGTATTAATGCTAATTACGGATTCCATATACAAAGATTTCAGATATCAATCACAGTGACTTACATTTTCTCTTCGACATAGGCATGAGGATCAGCCGAAGACACTCTTCATTGATGAACTCGAGGTCGGAGGCCTGTACGAGATCGTCATCACACAGACATTCGGTATCTATCGGTTCAGATATGGTGACGTCATCAGGGTTAGGCGTTATCACTTGAATACACCTGTAGTTGAATTCATGTATAGGTAAGCCTGTATAGTGAATGCATTTTTGTAACTCCCGTTTCCCCCCCCCCCGTGCTTTCATGACTGTTATCATGGAAAGACACACCCCAATGAGCAAAATAGGTTTTGACTGAAAAGAAAGGACATTTACTTTTAATCTAAGTATGACAGCTGCAGTGTAAGTTTACATTTTGAGAGCCATTTAAAGTACACTTGGATAAAAGAAAAATGGAATCGAATTTTTGTTCTAGTTATATTTTTAAACGCATTATACGGGCCTCCAAGAATTGTGTTTTGCGTTATTGGCAGGCGTATCAGAAACAATTCAAGTAGGATGCTCGTTCATTATGTTTAATGGACGTTCATACAAGAAACATTTTCTCCTATTTACAGATCAGGCCAGATGCTCAACGTAAAATATGAGAAACTTGATCAAAGCATTGTGAAGGAAGCCATAGAGGCTGCAGTAAACCACTGGTCTAATTTCAGCCTGGATGATTATGCTGTAGCAGAAAGCTTTCTCTTGGATAATCATGGTAATAATGATGATAATAATATTAGTAATAATACTAATGATTATAATATTAAGAATAGCAATAATACTATTGATAATAGTAATAATACTTATGATACTAATGGTAATGATAATAGTTATAATAATAATAATAGTAATAAGAAGAATAGGAAGAATACTAATAGGTCTATTTTTAATGCGCATGTATGCATCCTGGGGGATGCTCAGCTCAAGGCGCCTACAAAGTATCATTATTACCCTGGCTTTAGCCTAGCTGCCCATGGCTCTGGCGCTAAAAGCTTTCAGGAATACATTCCTACAAGGTACCCTTACTCTCCACCTGGGTGGAGAGTAGAACAATTTAGAGCAAACGTAGTGCCCTGGCGGGACTCGAACTGTGAACCATGTGATCCACAGTCTGGTGATGTAACCACTAATCCAGTACACCCATCGTATAATCTTTTTTTTTTTTTCGAAATTTTTATTGATTTTCGAAATTTTTTGTAACATTACAAAAACAACAATCATACAAGAATTAAATAATTGTATAACATTAAAAGAACAATAATCAAATACGAATCACTGTAACAATTACCCCAAAAAACAACAACAATCAAACAAACAAACAAACAGACCTGATGTAAAAACTAAAAAATCAGTCTCGGGTGGTTTGAACTGTATCATTATCAAAATATAATTATGGATAATTAAAATAAATTCTCAATTGGGGACCATTTTCTATAGTGCATGTTTTCTTTGTGCTTTTGTTTAGCAATTACCAATTCTATATGTCTGATATTGCAAATGAACGTTTCAAAACCTTTGAAACTTACTACTAAATTCCTGCATTTCTGAATATAAATGTATCTCTTCAATAAGATAATTAAGTGATTTAATAATATTTTATGTGGTCCCTACCAATCCTTTATGAATCCAAACATCATTCTTTTCCTAGATAGATCCTCATATCTGACAGATAGCTTTAGACCAATTTTATCAACAAAAGCTTGTCTTAAATCTTCAGCAACCTTACACTCATAAAAAAGGTGTAAAGGAGTTTCAACAGAGGTCTCGCACAATGTGCAAAGTTCTGTCTGAACTTGCTTCATTTTAAATAGTCTCTCATTGGTGTATAGAATATTATGCAAAATTTTAAACTGGAAGACTCTCATCTTAACTTCTATTGTGCATTTAAATGGGAGTAGATACATTTGTGGCCATTCCTCCTCTTCTATCCCATATTTAGTTGAAAATAGGGGTTCACAGACAGGTCTACATGTCAATTTACTAACTAAATCAACATAAATATTTCTAGTTTTTAGTTTTTGAATTTCTACTGTCAAAAGGTCAGATTGATCATGTTCATAATCTATTTTCTCCAAGAACATTTGTATCAATAATTGATTAAATGAAGTTCCCCATTTCTTCCTGACTAGCGATACTATTGCCAAATATATCATGCAGTATTTACCTGGTACTCCTCTTGCTTTCCAAAGATTAAATTGCACAATGTTTCCATGTAGATCAAAAAGTTGAAAAACATAACATAGACCTGCCTCATGAAAGGCCTTACAGTAAACTGATTTATTATCAATAAGAATATATTGATTGTTCCAAACAATTTGACTAAGTACACTTGCTTGGGCTCCTTGATCATCAACAAATTGATTATACTCCTTTGTCTTGGACCATGCTAACAACAAGTTATGATAAAATATGGGAATTTCAAGAGAATTCAACTGGCTCATAGAATAATTACTCATAAAAATCAATTTTCCACCAAATCGTTTACTATAGTGGTCAAAGAACAACTTCCAATGATGATCTGATTCTGTATAATATCTCTGAATCCACTTAACCAGCTGTGTCTCTATCATGCATTTTAGTTTCGGGAATTTAAGACCACCTTCAGTGTAATCTGCAATCATTTTTGCCCGTGATATCTTATCTGGACCTTTCCATATAAACTGAAACATCAACTTTTCAACCTCCTTAACAAAATCATCGGGTATTTCAATATTGGAAACTATATACATAATCTTAGACATAACAAATGTTTTCAACAGTTGAATTTGTCCTATTAAAGTTAACCCCCGATTCTTCCATCTTAAGAAAGTACATTTTATTTCATCCAGTCTCTTATCAAAGTTCAGTTTCCTGACTACTTCCTGACTACATGAGAAATGAATGCCTACAATTCTTATGCTTTTGTCTGCCCAATATATATCATTTGTTTTTTCTCCATTGTGCCTATCTTTCCCAACCCATATACCTTCCGTTTTTGTTTTATTCAAATAAAGACCTGATATGATTGAGAATTCTTCAAAAACTTTGAAAACCATCTTCATTGTTTGTATATTCCTACAAAAGCAAGTTATGTCATCAGCATATGCTGTATACTTTATTTGTTTTCCACTAAATTCAAAAGCCTGAATATTATCATTATTATTAAGGCTTGTAAGAACAACTTCCATGCTCAGTATAAACAGTAAAGGAGCCAGAGGATCACCTTGTCTGACTCCTCTAGACACTGGAAAATATCCAGTGGTAAATCCATTCACCAATACACAACTACTTATATTAGTGTGCAATGTTCTAACCCATTGTATGAAAGATGGTCCAAAATTGAACGCTTCTAAACAATTTAGCATGTACCTGTGGCTTATTGAATCAAATGCTTTTGTTAGATCAAGGGCTAGCATAATACCTCTCAAATTCTCCTCCTTAGTATATTGTAAGAGGTCTGATATTAATCTTATTCCTTCCTCTATGTATCTGCCTTTAATAAAGGCAGTTTGTTGACTATCTACTAACTTTCCTATCACCTTAGCAACTCTCTTCGCCAAGCATTTAGAAAGTATTTTAACATCTACATTCAAAAGAGTTATGGGACGCCAATTGCTCAGTGTGTGTTTATCTCTATCAGGCTTAGGGATGAGTTTAATTGTACCTTGTCTTTGTGACACAGACATTACACTATTTTCATATGCAAAATTGAAAGAATCAATAACTTCTTTTGATATCAAAGGCCAAAACATCTCATAAAACTCCACAGTTAACCCATCGTTCCCAGGTGTTTTATTTCTAGCCATTTTTAACAATTCTGCCCTAGCTTCAGAGCAAGTGATATTTCCTTCACATGAATTTCTTTCTTCGTCTGTGAGTAAGAGTTGCTTGATGTTACTCTGACTTATGTAATCTTTGCTCACCTCATCTTCCACCTTATCTTTGTTCTCAAACAAAGTTTTATATGATTTCTTAATGAAATCCTGTATTTCAGACTGTTTATCAATACGTCCTACATCTGAAATCAAAACATCAATATTGGAATTTGCTGCTTGACCTTTTTACAATGACAAAAAATATTTAGTACTCTTTTCCCCTTTCTCATCCCATGTACACCTTGACCTCAAGATTGCCCCATCTGCAAAATAGTCATATATTTTAAACAGCTCCTGTTCTATTTCCCTTTTCTTTTTCATTAATTCTTCATCTATATCTTCTGCTGCCATCCTGTCATCTAATTTTTTCAATTCTTTTTCAAGAGCCTTTCTTTTCTCTTCCCTTTCACATTTCTTCTTCTTAGAAAATGGTACAGTAAATTCTCTAATTTTAAACTTTAACCAATCCCATAGCCCTCCTTTATCATTACTATCTGTAAACTCACCAATCCATTCTGAGTATTTATTAGCTAAAGCATTAACATACTCCACATCATTCAATAGACTATTGTTAAATTTCCAGTAGGACGGACCAGAATTTTTTGTCTTAATTTTCATGTGCAAAATAACATGATCATGATCAGACAAAACACACGGTATGATATCATTTTCACTAATTGTATTCTGTAAGGATTCATGGATTAACCAAAAATCCAATCTAGATTGCACCAGTGGGTTATACCTTCTCCATGTAAATCCTTTTTTGCAGGGGTTTCTGATTCTCCAAACATCAACCAAACCAAAATATATTTTCAGATTTTCTATAAGATTCACAGAGTGCTTCCAAATGCTTTTCATTGAGCCACCTGCCCTGTCCAGATCAAGGTTTTGAATTAAATTAAAGTCCCCACCAATTATTAGAATTTCCCCATTTTCAACGTTATCTTGTATGGTCAATTCTACTTTCTTAAAAAACTCAACCTGATCCTTCTCATTATTTGGTGCATATATGTTGCATATCACATAAACTTTCTTCTGAATTTCAACTTTTACCAATAAAAATCGTCCCATTATATCTTTAATGGAGTCTAACAATTTAAAATCGGGTGTCTTTCTTAATATAATGCATACTCCTCTGCTCTTAGAAGTTCCATGACTGAAAATAATATCAGATCTAACTTGATTTCTCCATAATGATTCTTACTTTTCTACAGAATGAGTTTCCTGTAAAAGGATAATATCTTTGTTCTGTTTAAGCATATAATTAAAATAACGTTTCCTTGCTTTAAAGTCCCCCAATCCGTTAACATTATGTGTCATCAGCTTCAAATCCATAATTGAGATATGAATTTCTTAAAAATACCACCATTATAAGATCAGGTTTAATCTTTGCATATATAGGATATACTTCAAACATTAGGAAATACTTAGGAAAAAGATCGGCAAGTCCTAGAAGATATTGAGCGCGTGTTTCATATTAGATATTCTCGTTATCAAGTCGGTAGAATTGCACATGTTAACCTTAGTGGTAGGCTCCACTGAACAGCCACTGCACCTGTAAACATGGTTTAAATATTCTTATTCTTCTTGCCTCCCTGCAGACAAAGATGACGCTGACCATCGCCCATTCTACGTGGTGTTTCTTGAGATTTCCCCTACACCTGATGAAGTTTCCTCTGCTGACATCTCGCTCAATAAGGTAAGATTGTTGTATGAACTTGAAATCAATAAGTTTTATATGGTGAAAATGTCGTGTTTGTATGTGTGCGTGTGTGTGTATGTGTGTTGCGCGCGTTCGTATGTGTGTGTGTTTCCTTGCTTCTTGCTGCTTGTTATTACCATTATTTCTAGAGATTCTCCCCATATATTAAAGTCTAATTTTTTTCTTAAAGTTTGTGTTATTTTGTCTATGTTTGAACTGATATATAATGTATTAATTGTGCATCAATTGTGGGTCTTAGTAGTAGAACTAGTAAGAGTAGTAGTAGTCGTAGTAGTAGAAGTAGTAGTAGTATAGAAGTATAGTAGTAGTAGTAGGAGCAGTAGTAGTACTATTAGTAGTATTATTATTATTATTAGTAGTAGTAGTAGTAGTAGCAATAGCAGTAGTAGTAGTAGTAACAGTATTATTATCTTTATTATTATTAGTATTATTATCATATTATTATTATTATTATCATCATAATCGTCATCAATATTACTAGTATTGTTATTATTATCCTTATCATCATCACCATCATCATCACCATCACCATCATCATTTTCCAGTTATTTAAATGAGATTTCATATAAAATGTAATGTTTGTTATAAACATTAACAGGTCGATGAAGAGCTCCGTCTGCATTCTAACACCTACAATCTGTTCCGAGAGCAAGGAAGTATAGCCCCTCCTGATGTGCACATCGTCAAACCCGGCACATTTGATCGTCTGCATGATTTCATTTTGGCTAACAGCACAACGACTGCAAACCAGTACAAGGTGCCGAGAAAACTCCGTACAAAAGAAACGCTACAGCTCATGCAAGACAACTCCAGTTACTCCATGTAATAATAATAATAATAATGTTAAATTCTTATATAGCGCATATTACAAAATTGTCTCTATGCGCTTAGATACGAGAGGGAGAGAGAGAGAGAGAGAAGAGAGAAAAGACATGAACAATATTGAGCTTTCACCGTTTAGCAATTACAATTATCAAATCAATTACAAAATTCACATGTTTACTATATAAATTTAAATTTAAGACTGGCATGATCGAAACAGATATGTTTTTAAGTCGGATTTAAACTGATGTAGTGAAGGACAACGTTTTAGAGACTCTGGAAGATTGTTTCATAGTTCTGGTATGGCATACTGGAAAGCACGGTGCCCATATGTTTTGGTGGATGTGACTAAAGGTGTGAATGTACACTGTTGGTCATAATGGTGGAATAATTTTTTTTACCCCAATTTATTGAATGATTTTGACAATGATTTATTCCCAATAGATCTAGATAATAGTATACATTCTCATATTTTATTGAATGACAATTGGGGAGTGTTTGTTTTGCGTGACTGCTAAAGAATGTGTGTGCTACTATGCTAATCAACTAGGGAACCTACGTCCTTAAGTCATAACTGACAGTAATGGGGATTAATACCTCATAAAAGGGCACTAATATAGCACATCGACACGGTTTTGATCCTGGGGGCTCACAGTAACGAGGCCATTGCTGAGCCAAAGAATCATGACTGTACACAGCGGTTGCTTGGGTACGTCGACGCCCCCACAAAAACAAAAAAACAAAGAAAATGCAATAAATTTTCAATAATTCATTGCATTGTCCCCCAGTCCCCAACAGGAAAAATTCCTATGTAGGTCCATGCATTATGGTTCAAGGCAAGCCCACATAGAAGATATTTTTATGTTGGGGGTCGGGGCAGAATGCAATGAATTATTGACAATTTATTGCATTTTCTTTGTTTTTTTGTTTTTGTGGGGGCGTCGACGTACCCTAGCAACCGCTGCGTACAGTCATGATTCTTTGGCTCAGGAATGGCCTCGTTACTGTGAGCCCCCAGGATCAAAACCGTGTCGATTTGGTATATTAGTGCCCTTTTATGAGGTATTAAATCCCCATTACTGCAGTTATGACTTAAGGACGTAGGTCCCCTAATTGATTAGCATTGAAGCACACACATGCTTTAGCAGTCACACAAAACAAATACACTACCCAATTGTCATTCAATAAAATCTGAGAATGTATACTATTATCTAGATCTATTGGGAATAAATCATTGTCAAAATCATTCAATTAATTGGGGTAAAAATAATTATTCCACCATTATGACCAACAGTGTATGTTTTGAAGATGAACGGAGATTGCGAGTTGGTAGATGACTTGAAATAATATTTTGCAAATACATGGGAGTATCATTGTGTTTACATTTATATGCAATTGATAAGAGTTTAAAGATGATTCTATCTCTTACAGGTAACCAATGTAAATCATACAACACGGGAGTAATGTGATCTCGTTTACGTTTACGTGAGACAATACAGCAATAAAAGTGTATGATGTCTTTGAAAGGTGTAAACTTAATTTCTTTGTTTGTATAATTGTCTTTATGTAGGACGACCATATTTATGAGAGAACATTTCAGTGGTTTTAGATATATTTTTATTTGCGCTTTATTATAGTGTACATGTTGGTATATTTATTTAACTTGAATTTGTGGAATAAAGTTGAAATTAGAATTTAACTGGAATGTGAAACACCCAACATAGCCATTTTGCATATTGTAGTATAAAAACAACAACATGCATGTTATTACCGCCCTCTATTAACCGTGGTGAACATTTTGCGAGGTTGTGAGGAAAGAAATCTAACTGTGAAGGCAAATCAAAGAGAATTCCTCTCAAAATGAAGTTGGGTATCATTAAAGTAATATTGAGACATTTTTAGTAATATGTTCGGAATGACCCATCATTATTTCTAGGGTACGGCATACCCTATCCTCCTGAATTTGCTACCCATCCATTTCTTTTTGTGTAACTTGAATCCTTATAAAATGCTCAATAGAATATCCGCTTTAGTATGGTTGAAAGAATACATGTATTGTAAAGTATTTCAAAGAATACTATAAGATGAGGCCTAGGGACCGAGAGATAAAATATGTTTCTATAATGTATATTCTGATTGTAAAGTAGCATTATAATGCACTTCAGAGCTTAAATAGTGCGTCGCAGCCCTCCCCATCATCCATACTTGGGGAATTGAAAAGTTTTCCACAGATTACCAGAGGACATCGTCACCTCACAACACCCTCCATCACCACCACTGACAACTTAGGTGTTCCCACCACAAGTTGAAAATTCGGAGGTTTTCTGATTCCGTTTTTAAATATTTACTCATTTTAGTATCCTTCTCAAATGTGTTTTTTATCATGTTTTTATTTAAAATAAATGAACCTGTTGGCATATGAACCATGCTGTCTTTCTTCGCACATGATATGTCATGCTATCGTTACATAATAATATAATAATATATAATTATACAATCTAATTCACATTTGTTTAATACTTAGAGGTTGGTGGTGATGGTGGTGAGCATGAGTATGCCCAAGATAGTTGTGATGGTGTTGGTGGTAGTGACGTCCGGGTTGGCGATGAGTGTGATGGTGGTGGTTGTGGTGGTGGTGGTAATGAGGGGGGGGGGGTGGTAGTGGTGGTGATGATAATGAGGATTATAATGATTGTGGTGATAGTGGTATTAATGTTGATGATGATCATGCTGCTCCTGCTTCAGCTGGTGGTGGTAGTGATAATGGGCACCCCCCCCCCAATTCCTGAGAAAATATTTAGGGGCGAATCAACCAGCCGGTGAATAAGGGGTGGGGGTGTCGGTGTTTGAACACCCAAAAGTCAAAACACCCCCCCCCCTATTTAATACGGCCTTGATATGGGTGGAACTGAAATAGGGTACAAATTAACCCTCCACTTTTAAGGCAAAGAGTAAAAATGAGGGGGGGGGGGGCAGATATAGTAGCCACACGATCACCCGCATAAACACACGCTCTCATACGCAAATACACACACACACACACACCTTTTGGGGGCCTCCTTTCCATTTAAAATGTACAGGCATGAGACGCGCAAATTACAAAAATATGCGCCTCCTCATTTTGGTGTAGGAGGTGGGAATTCTTATTCCTTATCTAGTATTTTTTAGGACGAAATGACACTGTCATGTCTCTCATATAGCTCCGTTTAGTCTCATTTGACAACGCCCCCTATCGTCATCGTCAGCATGCCTATAAACATATGTTAGCTAATGGACTTTTACCCCCCAAACTCGTTAAAAATTCTTCTTCTTTTTAAACGAAAAGCAAATGCACCCCGACGTTCGTTATCACTAGCTCTTTTATTGAAACCCTCATGACCCATTGACTTTTGAAAGTTTACCCACCGTAATTTGGTCAAAATAGCTAGGTCGCCAGCTCGCCATTGCTTATATAAAACATGTGCAAAAAGTCGAACTTTTGACGCAATTTGCCACTCGATTGTAAGGTTATAAGTCAAGAACACGAAGGATAACAAGCATGAATTATCATAGATCAGTTCTGATTTGTTCATTATGTCCATTTCAGCCAACCCCCACCATAATTTTTCCATTTAGTATAGGCAAGCATTTTGCCGTGGTAAGCAAAAACATGTATATTCATGAACACCATGGACTATTCGATTATTAACAGAGGGGTGCAATTGTGCACCACATCAAACTCCCTTACTTTCAGTCAAGTATTTCATTGTATTATGTAGTTTGGTAGGTTTATTTTACTAAGTTCAAGTTTTATTTCCACATCTGATTTTAAAAAACACAAGTACAATTTATATGCATATATATACATTAACAAACGTTAAAATGAAACATCTTCAATCTAAATCATAATATGGTGGAAAAAAACAAAGGCCAATAGCCTATCAGGATTATTCCCAAAGATAATAAAATTTACATAAAAAGTTTCTTAGATTTATTAAAAACGAGATAAAAATACAGAGATTAAAATAACACAAAGCATCAATAAGCAAAACTTACCCGGACAAATCCATTACAAAAAGACAGGAAACAGAAAAGGCATTTATGTAAAAAATAATAGTAATTATACATATTCATTAACAAGATTTTTCTTAAGTTTTCTTTTAAAAATTGATACAGTTGGGCAAATTTAGAGTTCTTGAGGTAGTTTGTTCCATAATTTTGGTCCGGCATAAATAATTGTTGTTCTTGAGAAATCATAAGTAAACATTGGCAGGTGGAAAAGATTTGATTGACGAGTTTCACAATTCGTCACATTTCTATTACAAATAAAACAGTCATCTAGAAACTTTGGAAGTATCTTTTTAGAGTAAGAAAACATAACTGTTTAATTATCAGATATCAATGATAGTTTAAAGATATGGAAAATGTTCTTGTATTTTATATTTAGCAAAGCAGTCTCACATACAAAATCACTATCAAGTGTCGTCTGATCCGCCGATTGCCGTCTGATATATACGTTCGAAGGCGCATTAATATGTGGACTGTGATGTACACAGTTTACTCGTCATTGTAGATTTATGATTAGCCATCTGTCATGTATTAGTCTTTAATTGTTGACACACATACAATTACCACACACATGAACACTCTCACTTTCCCTCCCCAACACACCATTTCCGCACACCCGGTTCACACATAATACCCAATTGCATATACACCCTGCAACATAGTGGAACATTCTAGTTTGGTAGTGACGGCGAACTAGCTACGTTTGTGCTGGCGATATGCAATATGCACAAGATTTATGAACTTTAAAGTTGAAAGTCGGGTTAGCGACGTCATCCGCTCCCTCCTCCCTTGTGCCTCCTTATATACGTCATGACATGTTAGTTTCAAAGTTAGATGAAATTGAAGAATACTAACTAGACCATTTTCGTTTTGTAACGGATTCAAATTTAATACACAATATGGTGTCAAGTACCTCGTCACAATTTTTTTCTTTCACCTGTTACGAATAATTATATTTCAAGAGTCAGTATTCGAATGGCATACATTACGTGTTGTAAGGTAGGTCGGACAAGCCATAATATTTGACCTACATTGACCTTTAACGGATGGACATACGCGTTTTGTTAACGTATTCATTGTGATTGTCTCTGTCTCTGTCAATGTCGTGAAAAACATGAAAAACAAGTTGATATTACCAGATAGAGGTTTTATTTGGATTGTTTGTCATTTAAAATCCCGTTTTCCCCAATTTCCTCACAATGCAGATCCCGGTCTTCTAATTGGTTTATATGGGTCATTGGCGCGTGCGAAAGTGTGCGAATCAGTAGCCTATCAATCAATTTCTTATCACCAAAATCGTCTCCTTTTTCAACTATTCTGCTCCACATTGGTAATATTTGTATTCAAGACAGACTCTTACAGAGCACACCGTCCACAAAAAAACAACACAAGAGAGGGACACTGCTCCATTAAAGGGATAGTTGAGTTCTGTTGAAGAGGGCGCTACACAAAACAATTTGTTGTGAGAAAATGAAAAACTGATTGTGAAATTTGAAAGAACATACAATTTAAATGACAAAATCATCTTTGTTTGATCAAATCGGTTCAGAGACGGCTGAAATATCCATAAATATAATGATTTCTAATTCTTGTGTATCACCATAAATATTAGATAATTTGAAAAACCCGTTGAAAAAAAATCCCGCCTTTTACGTCATACTTCAGACAATGCCAATGTTGGCTTTTTTGTTGGCATTGTTTTGTTGGTTATATAACGCACAACCAACCGGTCCGTGTATTGTTATTTATAATTAAATAATTAATTAACGGTCACCGTATTTGTTTGATTTGATTTGATTTGATTTTTGCATTTTTCCAATTTATATAATAACAAAATAACAAAGAACATATAAACGTAAGGTATATTACAAAATATGCATACAAGGATAACTTCATGTCATTTTTTTTTTTTTTTACTTTTTTTTTTATTTTTTTTTTTACATATGTACATATAATAACGAAACTTAACATATTATTATGAATTTAAAGTATTATCCAAACTATCAGTGCAGGAGACCGCAATCATAAGCGAAGCTTGACTAGGATGGCGGCCTCAAAAGGAAAAAAGAAAATCTTAAGCTCCAGTCCCATATAAAGCCGGACCAGCACGGACGAGCACGGACCACTCCGGACCATCCCGGACCATGGTCTGGGGTGATCCGGGATGGTCCGGGATGTTTTGTTAAAAAAAGTGTGATGCTTTTAAGCTACAGTCCCATATACGTCCGGACCGTCCCGGACCATCCCGGACCCCATCCGGGGTGATCCGGGATTCGGTCCGTGTTGACACCGTGTTGGCACCGGGGTGGTCCTGGATGGTCCTGGGCGGTCAATAACTCACTCCCGGACTGCCACGGATCAACACGGACCGCCCCGGCGCCACTACGGATGACCCCGGACCCAGCACGGTGGCTACACGGATCACCCCGGATCAAACTATTGTCCCGGACCGTCCCGGACCACCCCGGCAGTTTTTGACCGTCAAAAACATCCGGGGTCGACTCCCGGACCGCCCAGGACCATCCAGGACCACCCCGGTGCCAACACGGTGTCAACACGGACCGAATCCCGGATCTACCCGGATGGGGTCCGGGATGGTCCGGGACGTATATGGGACTGTAGCTTTAAGGTAAAACTTAAAGTGAAAAAGCTTTTAAACGTTCTTTGTGTATGAGTTTGTGAGTGTGCTGTGCGAGTGTGTATTGTGTGTAAGCGTGTGTGTGCGTGTGTGTGTGTGCGCGCATATGCGCGCAAGCGTGCGTGTTGGTATGTGTAGCGAATAGTGTATGTGCACGTAACTCTCTGTTGGATGGTGGAGTGGAAACAAAATGTAGCCTTTCCAATAAAGGAAACCAAGAATACAAAATAGTATACGAAATTTGCAAACATAAGCTGCAATTAATGTGACCAATATTTGAGATATGTATGATAATTGCCTATATTTATGATAATTGTTTGAAAGTGGAGCTGAATTGGTATGATGGTATTGGCTAGATTTCACACATTTTGGGGTCTAAAATTACCTTCATAGCAGTTTTAGGTTCTTAAAGGGCACTAGAAATGTCATAGATAAGAATAAAAGCATTAACCATGCACTTTGAAGGCATTTGCAGTCTGAAAACAGAACTCAACTATCCCTAAGATGCATATAATCAGAAGGCGGCAGATCTCGTTGGATCAAAGAAAGAATCCCGTCGAATGTCCATCTGTTATATATAAGTCCATGACCATACTAAAGCAGAGATTCTTTTGAGTATTTTGTAAGGACTCGAGTTACAAAAAAAGGAAATGAATAGGAAATTTAATAGGATAGGGCATGACGTACCCTACTAATAATAATGATGCGTCATCCCGAAAATAGTACCAAAAATGTCTCAATGGTACTTAATGATACCTAATTACTTTTTGAAAGGAATTCTCTTTGATCTGCCTTCACAATTAAATTTCTTACCTCACAAAATGTTCACCACAATTAACAGAGGGCGTTTATAACATGAAAGTTGTTCTTTTTATACTACAATATCGAACTGGCTATGGTGGGGGTTAAAAATTTCAGTTTAATTCCAATTTCAACTTTATTCCACAAATGCAAAGTATATGTACACTAAGGCGCCTTGGATTAATTCTCATGCACGAGAAGCCGCGGCCTATTTTTTTTTTTACCTAAGAACGCATGCAGGAACGCTGCATTGCGGTAATCCCGGATGCGGGATTTGCCCACGAATGTGTGTCTGAAAGACGGGGACGTCTTTTTCAAGCCAGAAAAACCGCGATCGATTTTTCAACCCATTTAAAGATTCGTCATACTTGTTTAGCTCCCTATGCGGCTAAACTAACTTATTTCCGCTTATACAGCGCAAATACAAAACATTTCTAAAAACACTGAAATATCCTCTCATTTTAATTGTTGTCCTACATGAAGACAACTAAACAAACAAAGACTCTGGCCCGAATTCACAAAGGAGGTTTGTCGACAAACCTAGGTTTATGTGCGTCATATGACGCGTTTCGACGTTTACACCTTTTAAAGACATCATAAACTTTTATTGCTGTGCATGGACCTGCCTTGCATGAGTTGTAGTGTTTCTTTTGTACGGAGTTTTCTCGGCACCTTGTACTGGTTTGCAGTCATTGTGCTGTTATCCAGGATGAAATCCTGCAGACGATCAAATGTGCCGGGTTTCACGATGTGCACAACAGGAGGGGCTATGCTTCCTTCTTCTCGGAACATATCGTAAGTGGCAGAATGCAGACGGAGCTCTTCATCGACCTTTTAATGTTAATACCAAACATATGCATTATATATGAAATCTCATTTATATAACTGGAAAATGATGATGATAAGGATAATAAAAACAATAATAGTAATATCGATAATGATAATTATGATGATAATAAAAATAATAATAATATAATAATAATAGTAATGAAGATAATAATACTGTTACTACTATTACTATTACTGCTATTACTACTGCTAATACTACTTCTACTTCTACTACTATTGACAACCTGGACCAATTCAAAGCTTCACTCAAAACTCACATTTATTGGAGGAGCTCGCGCCTTTTGAATGTTTTTTGAAACAGATATATGGCGCCATACAAATGCTGTTCATCATCATCATCATCTTACTACAACTTCTAATACTCTACTACTAAGACACATAATTGATGCACAATTAATTAATCATATATTAGCACAAGCATAGACAAATTAACAAAACTTAATGAGAACAAAATTAGACTTCAATATATGGGTTGAATTTTGACAAAGTACGGTAAAAACAAGCAGCAAGAAGCAAGAAGCAAGGAAACAAATAAACACACACGCGCGCACCACAACGCTCTCTCTCTCTCTTCACACACACACACACACACACTTTTCACCATATAAAAGTTCTTAATTTCAGGTTAATACAACACCCTTACCTTATTGAGCGAGATATCAGCAGAGGAAACTTCATCAGGGGTAGGAGAAATCTCCAGAAACACCACGTAGAATGGGCGATGGTCAGCATCATCTTTGTCTGCAGGGAGGCAAGAAGAATAAGAATATTTAAACCATGTATGCAGGTGCAGTGGCTCTTCAGTGGAGCTTACCACTGATGTTTTATTATGTGAAATTCTACCGACTTGATAACGAGAATACGAGGCAGTCCTACGCTTTCGAATATGAAACACGCGCTCAATATCTCCTAGTACTTGCCGATCAATTTCCTAAGTATTTCCTAGTGTTTGAAGTATATCGTATATGCAAAGATTATACGATGGGTCTACTGGATTAGTGGTTACATCTACGGACTGTGGATCACATGGTTCACAGTTCGAGTCCCGCCATGGCAATACGTTTGCTCTAAATTTGCTATTCTCCACCCAGGTGGAGGATAAGGGTACCTTGTAGGAATTTAATCCTTGAAGGCTTTTAGCGCCAGAGCCATGGGCTGCGAGGCTAAAAACAGGTTAATAATACAACTTTGTAGGCGTCGTAAGCATCGCCCAGGATGCATATATGCACATTAAAAATGTACCTATTAGTATTATCACTATTATTACTGTCAATATTATGATTATTATACTTACTCTTCTTCTTCTTCTTCTTTCTATTCTTCCTCTTCTTATAACTATTATTATTATTATTATTATTATTATTATTATTATTATTATTATTATTATTATTATTGTTATTATTATTATTATTATTATTATTATTATTATTATTATCATTATCATCAGTATTATTACTATTTTTATTGTTATCATCATTAGTATTGCTATTATTAATATTATAATCAGTAGTATTATTACTAGTATTATTATCATCATTATTACCATGATCATCCAAGAGAAAGCTTTCCGCTACAGCATAATCATTCAGGCTGAAATTAGACCAGTGGTTTACTGCAGCCTCTATGGCTTCCTTCACAATGCTTTGATCAAGTTTCTCATATTTCACGTTGAGCATCTGGCCTGATCTGTAGTTAGGAGAAAATGTTGCTTGTATTAACGTCCATTAAACATAATGAAACGAGCATACCATTTTAATTGTTTCTGAAACGCCTGCCAATAACGCAAAATAAAATTCTTGGAGGCATGTATTATGTGTTTAAAAAAAGAACTCGAATTTTTATTTTTTTTAACCAAGGGTACTTAAATGGCTCACAAAATGTATACTTACATTGCAGCTCTCATACTTAGATTAAGTAAATGTCCTTTCCTTTCAGTCAAAATCTATTTTGCTCATTGGGCTGTGACTTTTACTGATAACCTCTTTGGAAAAAAAGATGGTCCAAGCTGCATGCCAATTAAATAAATTTGAACAATGACATTAACCCAGATGGTCACGATTGGGGAATTCTTAATTAGTTATCAGCCTGTCACTTGTATGATTTGCGAATTTTATATATATTAATTCTTAAAAAAAGCCAATTTTAAAACCTCCTAATTTAGTATTCATATGGCTTTCTTTGTATTAGTGCAGGGAGATTTTCACGTGCTGGTTTTGGGAAACTGCACGGTCATGAACGCACGGTTAAACAAAATTAACTACGAAGTTATCGAGGGGGTAAAACGGGAGTAACAAAAAAATCATACACTACTTTGATGCTATACCGGCTTACCTATACATGAATTCAACTACAGGTGTATTCAAGTGATAACGCCTAACCCTGATGACGTCACCACATCTGAACCGATAAATACCGAATGTCTGTGTGATGAGGATCTCGTACACGCCTCCGACCTCGAGTTCATCAATGAAGAGTGTCTTCGGCTGATCGTCATGCCTATGTCGAAGAGAAAATGTAAGTCTCTGTGGTTGATATCTGAATTTTTGTATATGGAATCCGTAATTAGCATTAATACCAAACAAACGAACTCATCAAAGGTTTAATACAGGAATTTTCATTGGTTAGGGGGTAATCATAGACTTTATCACAATGATGTAGTTAATACATTTTATATCTTTGATGAAGGCGGTGAAATAGGATGTGATTTCAGATTTTGGTGCGCCTGTTGTAAAGCAGTTTCCCATTTGGAAATATGTAAGAATGGAAACAGTTCCTCATCACTTACATCTCGTTTTCGGGAATGAATTCAAAGACACCAAGAGATGGCATGAGAACGAACTCGTCCTTCTCCTGCAGAGGCCAGAGGTTGATACCGATAATACCTTCAGTAGCACCCAGGGAACGACTAAATAATTGTACACCTGACAGAATATGAGAATAACACATTGGTAATAAATTTATAATAAAGTCAGTTCGCCTACAACTCAAAGTAGAGTAACACCTTCTTATTGCGATGCCACCATTAAAAGTTACTATTTTCAAAGCGACAGACGGCGCTTAAGCAGATATTATACTGTCAGGTTAAATAAAGGCGTGGTAATAACAACTATGATAATTGATATGGAAATGGAAATGAATAAATCTCCAATTTCATTTCAAACAGAGATGAAATAGGCAATCCTCTGCTTTAATGACACCTAACTTTGATATTAACCCTCTTAATCTTAAAAGGCAAAGCAGGGTGTGAGAGATAGAGAGAGAAAGAGAGATAGTAGAAAAGAGTGAGAGAGAGGAAGTGAAATAAAGATCTGGAAACTTTGCATGATGTGGTTTAGGACGACTGGTCGTTTGTACCTTTCAGATATGATTTCAGCAGTTTTTGCTTTATACCCACAGTATCGCTGGCTTGTACAAATTTCAAGCAGGGCCATACTCTTCTCAGTATGCCTTCAAATCCCTTCTCGAATTCTCTCTTCAGATCTGCCGCACGTTCCGGATCTCCCTCACCCATCTCTCTAACAAGTACTTGGTGAATCTCTGGAGGAACGTTGTTTGTCGACACTGTCCCGATCTCGATGTCACGAACGAAGTCGGGCCAACGTTTCTCAATCAGTTGCAAGGCAGACATCACGGTGGACGTAAAGTTACAGCAAACGGAGCGGACGTTTGGGTCGCGAAGGCCAAAAAGGAGGTGGACGTAGAGGGCGTCGTTAGGATCTTCAACCTGGAAACCTTCGCCTGGTGTGGTGTAGATCACTAGCAGAGGTTTCAGCGAAAGGGGTATCATGGATGCAGGACCGATGGGAATCCCGGTCTCTGTATATCTCCTCTTTGGTGCTGTATACAAGTTTATTTCTCGTTGAAGGAGACTACCATAACCGAATGCTTTAACACGGGCATGGATGTTTACCACATAAAGTGCGGATACTATAGTCAGAAAGGATTGACCATATGGCAACATCTTTGACTTTCCCGTAGTTCCAGACGTAAGACCGAATTTTATAGTTCGTTCTCCTGTCATGATACCCTGCTCACCTTTAGCCATGCGATCTACGAATGGTCTGTAACGTTCATAAGTTGTCAAAGGGTGTTTCTCTCTAAGGTCCCTCAAAGACGTCACAGAATCAAGTCCATAAAGTTTCACGTATTCCGTGTTGATGTTTACCTCGAGGATGGCCTTCAAATATTCTTCCTGTGTTCTTCGGGGGCTCTTCCAAGCTTCCTCATATCTGCTAACCTTTCTATAGCGGATAAATAACATCGCTGACATAATAAAGACCTGTGTGTAAGCTGATTTTACGCCATGCCCATACGATATCTGTAGTGACGTCATCCATAGTGATAGCACGGCAAGCAGTATACTTATCGTTCCGAGCAGCCCTGAAACAAACAAGAAAATCACAGTGTAAATAAGGTGGTGTGTGCATTTCAGGAAAAATGAGCCAGGAATAACAAATTTCTGTTTGTTTAAAGTAATGCTTGCATTTCCATAGTTTGATTAAACGAGTTCGTTTTCGCTGGCTCCCTGCCGTAGCAACAAACATAGTTGACAAAAGACTTAACTCCGCTTCGTGGACGATCAGCCAAGCACAAAGAAGACGAAAGAGGTGATGCAATATAAAAAACTACAATTATGGCATTTCTTTGACAAGTGCCCCTTTTCATTCACTTATCTCAAGTCAGACCATGTTCTCAAATCGAATATCCTTTGCATATTACCCCTTCTTGGAATAAGTACCCCTTTTATCTTGACAAGTGCCCCTTTTCCTTCGACAAGTTCCCATTTTCCTTTGTAATAGGTGTCCATTTTCAATTCTCATAAGTGCCCCTTTTAAGGAACGAGAAGTGCCCCTTTTCACTTTTGATAAGTGCCCCCTTTACCTCTGAAAATTTGCCCTATTTAGATTTGAGAGGTGCCTCTTTTACTTTGACAAGTGCCCCTCTTTCTAATGATAAGTTCGCCTTTTCCCTTCAGATAAGTTTTGTTTGTTTTATTTCCGAGAATCATCATAGAAACAATAACACAATATAACAAAATCAAAGACTTATATAACTACTGTATAATATAATGATAAACCGGTTCGATAGTCCATTAACCTAATGGCTGTATTCTTACTGTATTCTTGCCCCTTCACTTCCGATAAATGCCTCTGTTAGAATCTGGTCGGTATCCCTTTTTTTTCAACTAATGCACATTTTGTTTTATTGTAAGTGCCCCTTTTTCATTCCCATAATTGCCCCTTTTCATATCTGGTCATCGTTCCTTTTCAGGTGCGATACGTGCCACTTTTCACCTCTGATTATTTACTTTTACAGCGATACGTGCCCTTTCCCTTTCTAATACGGGCCTTATCCCCTTTTCATAAATGCCCCTTTTCATCTCTTATAAATGCCCCTTTCACAATCAGATCGGGGCCCTTTTTCCGTCGAAAAATGCCCATTTCCTATTTTCATAAGTACCTATTTTGTTTGCTTGTGGAAGAAAAATATTCGGTCCGACAACCAAAATGTTGTTGGGGATTCCCCGCGCAGGTTCGAACCCTGCCAACTACGCCAATTATAGTAATTCCTACTATGGACTGTGGTATACCCACCAAATCCTTATTCTGGTGAGTGCCTCTTTTAAAAGGTGTAAAAAGTGCCCCATTTTCACCTCTGATAATTAGCATTTGTACTTTGACACGAGCTACTTTTCCTTTCTGATGAGTGTCCCCTTTTCCTCTCATTATTAAACGCACCCACTATTTAAAGCTCGGTCGCTACGCGCACTAACATTTATTGATGATATAATTTTGTTACTTATCAAAGGTCTTTACAGTCTTCCGTTATGAGAATGTGCTTATAACCCCATCAGGATTGGATTACTTCCTCTTTTAAATTTAATTTATCGCACTGCAACCTCACAAATTTTAAAATTGTTTCCTCGCTCGCAAATTGATTTTCCATCACACCCAACTGCAAAGTATGATGCTTAAGCAATTGTACTGGGGGCACTCATCAAAAGTGAAAAGGGGCACTTATGACGATTAAAAATTGACACTTATTGCAAGGGAAAATGGGAACTTGTCGAAGGAAAAGAGGCACTTTTACAAGTTATAAGGGGCACATTTTAAAGATAAAGGGCAACTTTTCCTATGTAAAAAGGGGCACATACTTGGAAAGTGAGGGCGCTGTGCCACCTGCCCCTTTACCCCTCCCCCGGTTAGGCCTACCTTTGATTTTGGCGCTCTCCAAAATAAAGATGGATGCCAGAAGCATATTTGCTCGATATGCTGGAGGAAGAACAGGCCTTGATCTTCTGCACAAGGCCATGCAGCTGACGTATATGGTGCGCTTGACATGCTCGCCTTGCACTCATGCTCATACACTGTCGCTCATAAAGGTGGAATATTTTTTTTCAATCCCAATTCATGGAATTATTTTAAAAATAATTTAAAAATAATAGATCTAGATAATAGTATACATTCTCAGATTTTATTGAATAATAATTTGCCAATGCGTGTGTTGCGTGACTGCTAAAGCATGTGTATGCTACTATGCTTATCAACTAGGGGACCTATGCCCTTAAGTCATAAATGACAGTAATGAGGATTAATGCCCCACAAAAGGGCACTTATATAGCACATCGACACGGTTTTGATCCTGGGGCCTCACAGTTACGAGGCCATTGCTTTGTCACTGAACCGTGACTGTACGCAGCGGGGGCTAGGGTAGGGGGCAGTTTCCATAAATAAAATAAAAAACAGAAAATGCAATAAATTTTCAATAATTTATTGCATGTTACTCGGGTCCCCAACATAATTTTTTTTCCTGTGTGCCCATGCTTTGAGCCATAATGCATGGCCGTCCAGAGGATTTTTTTATGTTGGGGAACGGCCAACTGTCTTTGAGTTACGTTTAGCTAGCGGCACAGTGTCCCCCCACTTTTTCAAGTTCCCCCAAAGTGCCCCTTTGTATGTAGGAAAAGTACCTATTTTACTTTGACAAGTGTCCCTATTAATTTGTAAAAGTGCCCCTTCCCCTTTTCAACTCTGATAAGTGCTCCTTTTCTTTTGACACACACCCCTTTTCCTTCGACGAGTTCCTATTTTCCTTTACAATAAGTGTCCATTTTCCATTCTCATTAGTGTCCTTTTAATCTCTAGTAAGTATCCCTCTTTAAGTACGAGAAGTGCCCCTCTTCACTTTTGATAAATGCCCCCATCAACTCCGATAAATGCCCCTATTAAAATCTGATCGGTGCCCATTTTCTTTCAACTAAAGCTTTTTTCATCTCTCTCTCTCTCTCTCACTCTCTCTCTCTTTCTTTCAATATCTTTCCATTCCCCCATATCTTTCTCGCCTCTCTTTCCCTCATTATGTTCCCCTCTTACCTTATTAATTTGTCTCTTTTCCTCTCCGTTTCATAGCCTTCTCATTTCTGTTAATTTTAGGTTTCGCCCTTCCTTTTTTTTATCACTCTATTTCACTCTTTCTTTTCTTCCGGTCAACTTTTTAGTTTTCCCTTTTTTCTCTCTTTTTTTCTGTTTATCTTTATCGTGCCTTTCAACCCTCATTTTCCTTTTATATGTTCCCTTCTCCTCGTAGCTATCTTTTTCCCTTAAGTATTTCATCTATCATGTCTTCCTGTTTCTGACGTTTTCCTACCTTGTCTCACGGATTAGTATACGAGTTAGTGGAAAGTGCTGAGGTTTATACACGAATATAAAGTACAGTAATTAACTGATGTACACTGAAGGTAAGTTGTGTATAAAGCAATTGGTGTAAGCAGGATAAGATTTAACGATTGTTGCAGCTTGTCGTATCGTTCTACCAATGCCCTTATAACCCTAATAACTATTTACACGATTACACGATTCAGAGCGACATTCTTCAATCGTGTAAATTTCCACGATTACACAGTTACACGATTGTTACATCTGGTCGAATCATCCGACCAATGCACTTAACTATTTACACGATTACACGATTCAGAGCGACATTCTTCAATCGTGTAAATTTACACGATTACACAGTTACACGATTCAGGTGAATCGTGTAAACCGTGTAAGGGATAGAGCAACGTCGATCTGGCGCTGCTCAGTGGCTGCCGGGCTCACGATCAATTGGGCAAAAAGAATTTCCGTTTCGGTTTAATAAAATTTGGAGTGGACTATTAGGCTATTATTATTATTATTATTATTATTATCCCAAAAATAAATCGTGTAATCGTGTTGCGGAGATTTTCGGCGTGTACTGTACTTTGCAGTTGAGTGTGATGGTCCTCAAATTCATTTCCGACCGAGCGAATGGAGCGAGGAAATTTTTAAAAGATTGGCGAGGTCGCAGTACAAAAAATTACATCTTATAAAGAGCAAAAACCCAATCTTGATGGGGTTATATGCAAATTCTCATAACGGAAGACTGAATAGACCTTTGATAAGTAATATAAGTATATCAGCTATAAATGTGAGCGAGCAGAGCGAGCAAGCTTTAGGAGGAGGTGCTGTTAGTCGCTTGAAATTAGGGGCGCATTTAATGATGAGAGGAAAAGGGGACATATATCAGAAAAGAAAAGTAACTCGTGTCAAAGTATAAAGAGTAATTATCAGAGGTGAAAATGGGCACGTTTTACACCTTTAAAAAGAGGCACTCACCAGGGATGAAGAATAGGCACTCATGAAAATAGGAAATGTGCATTTGTCGACCGGAAAGGAGATTCGATCTGATTTTGAAGGGGCATTTAGAAGAGGGGAAAAGGGGATAATGCCCTTATTAAAAAGGAAAAGGGGCACGTATCATTGTTGAAAGGGAAATTATCAGAGGTGACAAAGGGCATGTATCGCACCTGAAAAGGGACAATGAACAGATATCAAAAGGGGCATGTATGGGCATGAAAAAGGGTCATTTACAATACAAGAAAATTTGCATTAGTTGAAAGTAAAGGGGTACCTACCAGATTTTAATAGGGAAATTTATCGAATTTTATTTATGAAGGGGGGGGGGGGGACTTATCAGTGCTCCATGGAAGAACAGAGCCATTCGATTAATGGACTATCTAACCGTTTTATCATTCTATTATAGTTACATAATTATTTGATTGTGTTATATTGTATTATTGTTTTATGATGATTTTAGGAAATAAAACAAACAAAAGTTATCTGAAGGAAAAAGGAGTCACTTCTCGTTCTTGAAAAAGGACCATTTACCAGAAATGAAAAGGGGCATTTATGAGAAGGAGAAAGGGCTTTATTTTAATAAGGTTACTTATCATTAGGAAGA